AATGTGTTCTTTAAAAATTGATATTTAAAGGAGAACATCTATATTTTTTAATATATGAATAAATTCGGACTAATTTTGCGTGAAATAAAGGCAATTTAAAAATCATCCACACACACACACACAAACAGCTCCAATTTTTACTTGGACCTATTAATTCAGATAGTGCTGTATGCATATAGTAACATGAGAGCATGACGTAAACTTCATTTTTGTGTATTATTTTGATTTATCAAATACAAGTTTTATTTTAATGGGTATCTCTTACGTTTATATTTACTTTATAGCCTTTTTATATGCATTTTTGAATCTGTGAGTACAAGTGCTTCAGATTATTTCTTACGGAGTTTCTCGAGAACAAATTTTTTCTGCGACAATGAGCTCAAATCTGCGCCTCTTTAGAAACGTTCAAATTACGTTTTCTCAAGAACGGCTCCGTAATTTTCTTACAGATATATTTCAATTCTACTATTAGGGGACCGAGAAAATGAAAGACTGCGAAAAAATGCCGTTTTCAGTTGATCGAGAAGTATGAGAAAAGGCGGAATACCAAAGGCAAGTATTTGTGTTTTTTAATCAAAATAGAATCAGTTCCGTGTTTTTAAGTTTTCCCGATTTCCTTGGATCGAAACAAAACCGTAGGCAACTCACATGTCCAGAACTTTTGATTGATTAGCGACTCTGAGTGCCAACTGCAAAGGTTTTTAATTCCGAACGTGTGTGCATATTTGTATTGCAGAGGTAGCGGTCATTTTCCTCTGCTAGATGGTGATATCCAGCCCCGTTCCACGTCGGCTTGTGAGGATTTTCCTCCATCAGGTATCTCCTACCCGATCCGCCCCAGCCAGGACTCGCTCTAACCTCTTGACTGGTCTCCCGATGTGCGGTAAGCTGCGAGTGTAAGTCACGGGCCCGGGGGCTGCGCAGTTTTCTTTCGATGTCTGAGCGCTTGGAAAGTGCGCCTGCGTGTCGCCGGGGGGCTGTTCGATGGCCATATCCGCGGAAAGCGGAGCCTGCCGTGGTGCGCGGGCGGGGCGTGTATTTATACCTGGCGCCGGGCAGTGACCGATCGGCGCGTATTTGTCGGCGCCCGCCGCGCGGCAGAAATAGCAGCTCGCTTAATAACGCGCTGACGGCGCATTTTTCCCGCCGGCGCCGCGCTGACAAAGACCGGAGGCTGCGCGGCGGCGCGTCAGGTGGACACCGCGATACATATTTCGGCGGCCGACGCGCGCGAGGGCGCGGGCGCGGCGTCTATAAATGCTTTGCGTCCCGTTGTGTTGCTCCGGAAGATGCGAAGGAACGCCCTGTGTGGGAACGGAATTCTCTTACGGGAGAAAACAGAGCGTTTTCGTGGACGTCCGTTCAGGACTGTATGGGTGACGATGGTGGGGAGGAGTAGTCCAGGACGTTATGTTCACGTTTACAAGTAGAAACGTTGGGCACAGGGGTGAAACAATGGTTTTAATAGGTTGCAAAGGGATGATTTTGAAAGGTATATGAAAAAGGACCAACGCTCGTGCATTGGCAAGAGACTTGCAAGCGCGTCGGTTACGGCGCCTGCATTTTAACTTCCCGTTTATTCCGCATTCTCGGACTCACGGCACATTTGGCGATTCGGTTCGTCTCAATGGGATACACAAAGAAAAATGTGGGGAAAGAGAAGACTGGTGTTTTATTGTAAATGTTCGTAGGACTATTTCGAGCTTTCGTAGTTAGCTCTCGAGGTTCTCTCTGGAGTTTTGGGGGTTATCCCTGTAAATAGAAGTGACGAATTCACGAGAGAGGTGACGTGGAAAGTGAAGTGGCGTTCACTTTGGCGACTACAATGCTAGCCGCAGAAGGGAAAAGCTGAGGAAAAGACATATTACGGTGGTACAGAAGCAACTTAAGAATTAAATGGAGCTAATTTAAATTGGGAAAACATTAAATAGCTGAATGATCAATATTAGATGTACTAGCGTTCTGAGTGTTCATGATACGAAACAACATCGGTAAGGCGAATTCCTGAGCAAATTTAACAAGTAAATGACATTTAAAACTTCACTCATATCTGTACGCTAGTGTACAGAGATAAGTAAAGCTTCACGTACTTAGAGATAAGTAATATAGAATATACTCGTGGGGTCTTGTCAAATTATTAAATTAATTTAATGAATCCATTTAATTGACAAGCGTAAATATTATTGTGGTGTGTTGTGCCCACCGTGTGAGCTTAGCAGGTGGGCTCTTTTCCACGCAACGCGTTTAACGCGCGGTTGGAACTCTCGACTACCTCCGCCGTGATTCAGCGTATGGACCGCGAGGTGTACACCATCGCCTTACCGATGTTGCTTCGAATCATGAACTCTCAGAGAGCTAGAACATCTAATTTGTATCATTCAACTCTTTAATGCTTAACCAAATTAAGCTAGCTCCATTAAAGTCTTCAGTTGTGTCTGCTCCGCTCAGAAATGTTTAATAAATGTGAAAGGTACTACATAGACCGCAATTGAGATTACAGGGGTGCGATGCATGAGTTTAAACTTATCCCATGTTCGTTTGTGTGAGAAACTGACGTTTGACCGATGCGAGAAAGCTGTGATGTCTTGATCGTTCGGTTACGGCGTGTGGCTCGTGACTTAAATGCTGTGGTATTGCAGAGTCTAATTATTCTGAAAATTACCGTTCTACCGATATACATCCCGGCAGGGTCATTTTAATGGAAACGGAGCAGAGGTAGCCATATGTGCAAATAATTCTGTGCAAAACTGTATTTATTAACAAGATTATTCTGAAGCTCATTTTCACATTCTTGCAGTCTGTGGTGCCAGTATTATCAAAGGAATATGGAGTTCAATAAAACTAAAAGAAAGGTCATAGTAAAAATGAATAATGAAAAAATGTTTGGTTTTCTTGGAACACTTGAAAGTACAAGATGTTCCATATTTCATCGTGGCTGACTGCTCTCGGTGTTTCTGTTCCCGATGAAGACCCTTACTTTCGCTGCGGGCCTCTAAACGAGAGCAAGGTTTATTGTTGACATTCTGCACAAAACAAATACTCATTTCATTATTTTCTTCGCCATCTAAATGCGCCCACGAGTAAAAAACATTTACTAGTGTAGAGAGGCATTACAATTAGAAGAAGAAGAAGAAGAATGGATGTATTCTATTAGCAACAAAAAGTATGATATTTAAATATTTACATATTATTCGATAATTTGAAGATACCCGTGTGAAATGAGTGTATACTCGGACGCTTTAAATTAATAAACTAGATGGTAATTTTTCAGAAAGAGTGACCCTTCTTTTTATTCTAACCGGACGTTTTCGAAATACGAGAATTTTTCTGGAACATCAGAATAGACTTGTATTATTTTTAGGTTACTTATACCGTCTCTAGTATGTCTCGTTTGCAGCGACATATTTTCAAATGAAGATGATTGTATTTGTTGAGATTTTAAACTTACACGTGGTTGACATTATTTCGAATGTGTGCTATTTTTAAAATTTTGTTTGGAATAAGATGTGTTGCTATTTAATATTTATGAAAGTATCGTCCGATAGTTCACTTTCATTGTCCGCCTATTCCAGCCTTTTAAATTCTTTAATAATCTTGTGTAGGTAGTGCTTAAAAACAATACCATGCTTGTTTTATCCTATTACGATGCTTAGTTTTCCTATCTCTCTTTCTCTATGACAAATACAATCGTAAATATGGGGAATACAGACTCCCATGTCTGTTGATCGTCGCATTAAACGTATGTGAATATAATTTGTGGTATTCTACCGAATGGAAGAGCACGGCTGCCTTTTCTCAGTCCATGGTCTGAGCCAGTTTTGTCGGTCCACTTCATCAGCCATTTTCACCCTCCTTTCCCTGTTCATCCCTTCCTCTGATTTGTTACAAGAAGTTTTTATGTATTATTGCATACGTAGTCTGGTCGTCACATCTTTGAGCTCATCGTGGTTCCTTACTTTTGTCCCCCGTTCTCTTTCTTCATCCACATCATGGGAGCCTCAGCTGTGTGTCTTCCCTCTTGATGTTCCCGAACGACGAGGCGAAATCCAGACGAAATGTAGCTTCCCGTCAGCAAATACCTCTCGGATGAGTGCGTGGGCTTGGGCTGGCGGGCGCTCGGGTTGCAGGAACGGCGGCAACGCCACGCTCCCTCGCGTTGGGTCTGGCGCATTTCGTCGCTTTTACGATCGGCACTGGCTGACGAGTGGCGCTGCAAGTACGAGGGACGAATAATGGAACTATTTAATTTGCGTCGGTCAAGACCTGGTTACCGTCGGTTCAGTCGTGCATTGGCCGTAAGTGTTCGGTGCATCCGAAGATTCATTGTCGATCGCGGAGTCGTGTCTTCCAGTCGTGTCGCTGTGGTGGTTGAGCCATTTTGCAGTGCGGTGATAGTTACTGCGGCAGTGCGGATTCATAGAATAGGATAAGTGTTCGTTTTTCCGTTTGCGAAAACCAGTTCACGTGAAGATTGTAGAAATTGATTACATCATTATTTTTGCTTTCATGACCTTTACGAATAATAAATGAAACTTTTGCGTTGTAGCTTCGAAATGGTAAACCTTGTTTGAGAGTTTAGATTTGATAATGAATGTGTTGACTCGCTTTTTATTGTTGGTAAAATATTATTTTCAGTTTCTTTTAGATTGTGTGGCTGAATTACGAGAGATTGCGGAAGAAATTAATCAAACGCATAGTGAATTGGTTCAGGCCGCGATGTTTTAGTAGTGTTTGATTTAATTTATTCAAACAGTGTGTTGTATATAGCAGTGTTAATTGATTTTTCTTGTTCATTTTTATATGACTTGGCGATTCAATACTCTCGCTTGTTTTATTGGAGTGAACGGCGAACTGATTGTCCATTGTATCTGTGTAGAAATTGCGACATCAATTCGGTAGTTGTTTCTACTGCTCGTGGGGGCGTCTTCCGGAATTAGTCATCGTTCGAGTTGTTGATTGATTTCTGATTGAATTGAATCAAGTTTGTCGATTTCGAAATCATGTCCTCTCGAGACACGTCGCCTCAACCTGGAGGCTCGAGGGACTACTATGAGTACTCGTCTCCTTCATCGCCTTCGTCGTCCTCGTCCTCGTCGTCCGCGTCGACCATGCCGAGCTGTCAATGCTCGAGCACTTTTGAAGATCCTAACTGCGCTAATTATCCCAATTGTCGAAGACGCGCATTGAGCGGCTATCTTCCTGAATCTGGCGGATTTGATAATGCCTCACGGAGTGACACTTCGGACCCGGCTTTTCCCAGTACATCAAGTGGCTTCTTCTCTGCTCCGTACAACGACCCGTCAACACCTCTCGTCCTACCTGGCCAACTGTATAGAGACCTCTTCCTCAACAACTCTCCCTCGCCCAAGACGTTTCAGGCTATGACAATTCTCGAGGAGACCTCGACTTTTTACTTCGAATCAGAGTACTTTGACAACGCGACCTCGCAGCAAGCGCCGCCGCCACCGCCCCCGCCGCCGCCGCCACCTCAGGAAGAATCCTCCTCGGACGACGACGACGATGCCGACGAGGACGATGAGGTCGACGTGGATTCGTGCGACTTCCGTAATCGTTCCCCGGGTTATCCGTACCCGTGCAACATGACGCGCATGGTCAGCCCAGGTAAGACTCTCCCGCAAACCATCTTGGGGGCGGACACCCCCGAGCCCACGGTGACGCGAATGGACGACAGCAACTCGGACGACGGGAACTTCGACGAAGGCCTGGAGGAAAGCCTCCGCGACCTCCTGCCGGACACGGAAGAGGACGTGTCCATGCGCCTCCTGGAGGTGTTCACGGTGAGCGACGGCAAGGGGTCTTGGCATAATGTTAAACAATTCTAGATCACTTGGACGCTTGGGAAAATATCACTCGTTGCCAATGAACGTTGGACTTTTCATATACTAATTGACTTTCCGAATAATATTTGCCTTCTTGGAGCTGGGGTGGGGATAGAGCAATGTTGCTATTTACTGGTTCCGCAAACACGTGGCCCTATAGTTCTTCTAACATCAGATCACAACACTAGCAAGAAACAAATCCCAGTAAGTGCTCACAACAGTAGACGATAACAAGCACGTTGTATTACCCCTTAATGTTCGGCTACCCACTTCTTACAACTGAACGACAGGTAATAACCTGCGTCAGATCATGGATTGCCGGTCATCTCTGCACACAATCTTGTATAAAAATTAGGGGTAAATGCCACGCACTCAGTTACAAGAAACATCCCACTACATGTTCTTTGGCAAAAGTTATTATTTTCGACACCTTTCAAGCTGGAGAAGTTTGTAACATTTTTCCCGAGATACCTGTGCACTTACGCTCGTTCGCTCAGATCGCGTGCCCTGTCCGTAACTCTCTGGTTTTGGGGGAGGGGTTCTTCGCATTTTTTCTCTTCAAAAATCAAATTCTGTTAAGTGTCCTTTGCGTGCGACTTTCAGATTAAGTTGCAGCCGAGGGACGTTTTCTCAAGCTTGCTATAGGTTACGATACGATTTGCTTTTCATAGCACTTGATGCTCAAGTATTAGTACTTTAACGTTTACATCTAACACGTGCTTCACTTGAACGAATTTAAACAAGGCATCTTTCTTTGATAAAATTGTTTTTTATGCTTTTGATCATTTGATTCCGACACAAATTTAGTCTGCTACGGTAGTGATGCTGCGTTCGCTTTGTAATTTTGTAACTTAAATTTTTTTTTTTAAACTACAGATATTTTGCGGTATTTGTCAGTTTTTCAGCGAGGAATTGTTTTTTCGATCTTCTGAAACCAACAAAACTACATTAGATGCGGGTTCTGCTTTGTATTTTCTCTTTCCAAACTGGACGAAGACGTCTACACAAATGTTTCGGAATGTAACGCCGAATGTGTAGATGTAGCGGGAATGAGTTTCGCGTTTGCACGTGGGCGTGGGCAGAGGGTTCGTTGGCGCGCCGGGCCCTTCGATGGACCGCGCCGTAGGGCGGCTGCCGCAGCGCACGCGCTGACAGCGCGGGGCGACGCCTCTTGCGTAGGATACCCGCCAAGCCTTAACTCTGGCCAACGACGATGTTTTCTCCGTGGACGTGGATCGCGACGAAGACAGCGACGACGACGCGCGCCTGGTCATCGACATCGACTCCTTCAGCCTGCCCAGCATGTGAGTTTTAGTACTAGATTTAAGCTGTGCGAGTCGATAAGCAAATGCCTCCAGATATTTAGAAGCTAAAGTGCACGCGTGGAATCTATAGCTGCCGTCTCGTCATCGACATCCTAACTTTTCGACATGCTGCTTCGGGTCAAAGTACTTGCATTTCTTGTACGAAAGCACTCAAGGAAACTAATAAAACAAATCTCTTACGTGGGCAAAACACATTTCGGGCGAGTACAATCCCTAATTTGCTTTGGACTATCCGATACTTTTCTAACAGCGATAGAACGCCTAGAATGATTTACTGTGATGACGTATTGTCTCTTTCGCACTGAAACGGCGCACAGATATCTGGAAGGAACTCCACCTTAGACCTGGGCGCCCACGAACTCCGAGTTAGCCGGGCTTGTGGCGGCCAGGCTGCTGTCAAAAATGTTCCGAAATTTGGAGCCAGTCGGCGAATGAGGCGTTGCCTTTCGTCAGTGAAAAATTGATTTACCCTTTCTAATGCGAGAACGTGCCGGGCCCCTCGCTTTGAGGTCACTAAACGTCTGGTGGGCATTGCCGTATTTTTGAAGCAGCGCAAAAAGGAAGGGTTTTGTGATTACTTCGCTGTTGTTTCTTATTTACTTTTTAATTTGTGTAACACTTTGTCCTTTAATGTAGCATGTGTTTTGTGAACTTTTTCACTTGTTTTTGTATGTACTGTTACGGCATTTCATATCTCTCATAATAATGTTCCTTCTCTTTTGCCGTTCGTAATCAGTAGATTACTTCCGAGGTTTCCGATGGTGAGTTAAAGATTTTTTCTGCATTGTATTTATTTTCTAATACCTCTGAGGCAAGTGATCGACGGTTTTCTGTGCTACTTGTATCTCAAAAGATGTTCTTAGAACTATATTTTATATTTTTAATTATATTTTTAATAAAGACTTTAAACTGTAAAATAAAACTAGTGAGAAGATGGTGTGCTAGAGAAAGAAATTGTCTCGTGGTCCCTAGATGACTCAAACGAAGAAAGAAGACTATGGTCCACGGTTGCGAACGAATTCAATGTAGCCCACAAAACTGCTCAAGCGGAATCGGCAATTATGTAATTCAACAAACGAACGAAGAGGGCTCTTATATCAGTGAGTGACGTGTGCCACTCACTTGAGATTTTTGTTTTCTACATAACTACCAAATGTGTTTGTTTTGCTGCCGAGATATGGGAAATGTATGTACTCGTATTGGTTCGTATTGGGGATGTAGCAATTCCCACTCGCATTCGATATTACGTGGGTTCCCAACCACCGACTAGCTTTGAACTTATAAGGAAAGGATTGCTGTTTCGTCTGTAACTTGCGTCATTCCCTCGTTTAACGAGTTCGGGATATGATTAGAACGGAATTGTCGAAGTATTGTTATGGCATGAATATGTAGGAAAAGGTTCTTTTACTCATGCATTCCGCAAAGCGAGTCACAAATCGTTGCGAGTTTTACTTTGTCGAAAATCCCGTTCTCCCAGCCGAGGTTCAACGCGGCAATATGGTTGCGGAAGCTAGTTTGCTAATCCCAGAACACCACCACGTGTCTTATCGGGAGTCCGTTTAGCACGAAGGGGCAGCGCCCCACCTCGCCCACTGCTGTGTGGTTACGCTCGTATTTCCAAAAAGAGATGGACGTCTGGCGATACGTAATTGCTCTGATTGTTGCGGCGCGACGTTCACTCGTGTTGCGTTTTGAGAACTTAAAAGGTGCGTCGCAAGTTGCTGAATTATTGTGCACAAAGATTTATTATTATTATTTAAAGACGAATGAAGTTTTGCTCTCTTCGAATGCTTCCGTGATTCGTCATTTGAGAAACGTCAAGGGATTCCAGACAACAACGGAGCCCCATTCAACCGCATATTGCTGTCTTCTATAATGGCTTGAAACACACATCAACTCGAAGCCTGTGGTACTAAAGGTCGAAACGTGTAATTGGAAAGCGAAATTGTTTCCAGAAGGAGGCGATGATGATTTAGTTGAAATGATCAAAGAAGGAAAGAAAGCAACAAACGCCATGTAAATGTGAAGGAGAAGGGAGTGCGAATCGCATTGCATGTGGGCTTGGCAGGGCGGATGGAGAGAGATCAGTGGGCCAGGCGTTGCACGGATGGAAATGAAATTACTTCATCATCGAATTCTTTCCTTTTCATAACAGACGTCTGAGCGTGGTTCCCTCTGTTTATGATTGAGATGGAAGCCGTGCGTGGGGGGGGCGTGTCGCGTGCCGTCGCGTGTTGACGTTGGCCAGCCGCCGTGCGGGCGCGGCGCCGCCTTGCCACCTTGCGTTAATGGGCGCGTGCGGCTCGCGGCCAAATCCGCCCGGCCCCCGCATCGTGTTAACTTGTGCAACGCCCCGCCGAGGCAGACGCGCGTCCGCACCCGTCACCCTCGCGGACAGCTTAATCGAACCCGCGCCCATGCGCTTCTGAGGAGGGCGGAGAAAATTACACCCCACTATTCGGAGGACCTCATTGCTTCGTAAAACTTTCTATTTCTCTAACATGAATGTATTGAAGCTGAGATTTTTTCAACATTGATCTTACACCGTCGGTGTTTTTATTTTATTATTTGCATATGTACTATAATTACAACAAAAAATGTTTTGTGATCTCAGCCAATTGAATATCCTCCTACACCAAAGTTACCTCGGGTGAAAAGTAAGGCTGTAGACTTATTTTTACTTTCTCGCTTACTGATTATGAAGAGTGCGGGAATAATTCTAATGCTACGGGGGTAAACGAAGATTTAATAACCAAAAGCACTTATTGCTGAGCCCTGGTAACGAGAAAGTGGATAAATGTCGTTCGTATCTCTAGTAAATTACTTCCTATAAAACGTTTCGATTAGTCCTTGAATCCCAGTTTGGTGGATGCTTTATACCGACAAAATTGGATTACAACAAAACGCCTGTCCGGTTGTGTGGGAACAACGCTAGCAGCTAAACCTTGAGCAGGTTTTTTCACCACAATTAATATTCCCAGATCAATCTGACTGATATAGGGCACCTTGAATTTTAATTTTAATTTCAGGTACTTAACCGAAGCCTCAAACATTTGAATTTTAAAAAATGGCTCTTAATTTTTTCCCCTCTGAAAGAGAAAAAAGACGTGTAAAGAAATGGCATACAGCTCAGTTTCGTTTGAAAATTTCAAAAGTCCTAACTCTTTTCGACATCTTCCTGCAACTATAGTAATGAAAATTGACATTTTTTCGTTAATGAAATCTGTTCATAATCATAAATCATGAGAACCTGTTTATTTTTTTTATTTTGGAGTAACTTAATTAGTAATTTAATTACTTAACTAGTATTAGAATTAGTTATTTATCAGGAGTTATTTAATAGAAACCCTATGCCAATGAAAGAAGAAAGGACTGCCGAAAATATAGTCATGAGATGTATTTCATAATACCGTAGTTACTTATTACATATGCATTCATAGGGCGATATGTTGGGTGAATCTCAAATCTGGATGTTTTATTTTTATGATAAATTATCTTTGTTTGTCTGCATAATGTGCTGCAAGCATTGTAACAGATGATATTTATTTATGTTTGTTTATTTTGTAGAAGTAAGAAAGGACTTCTGTTCCTGACTATCGAAATATGCAGATACGCACCGCTGGCGCTTTGTTTGAATTTGTTTGGACGTGATGTGAAGAAATGGGGGCAGAGCTTTCCGTATTATAATTCAACGTCACCGTTTCCAATGCGATAATGTACTCCTTTAGCATCTCTATTTTACTTGTAAATTGTTGTAGATATGTTTGCGGATTCTCTTTTATCGGAGGTACCAGGCAGTTTGGCACCCAAGATGGTCTAGTTACGAACAGTCTTTTCTCTCAAACAATCATTACATTTTTGACTTTTATCTGCCCTAGTTCTTAAGAAGTAGTTAAAGAGTTATGAAGAACATTGTGACCGAATGAACAATGACTTCACTTATGTGAAATTCCTGAATGTTAGGTACTATATAAGATTCGCGTAATATTAAATGTTTCATCTCGCAATGGTAACTGAGTAATCGGAATAGAAATGTAAGTAAAGAACTATAATTAATATTTAATAAAATAATTTTAATAATAATAACAGAAAATATTCCATGTTGTTCGATAAACAAGGCGCAATGAATGAATTGCCTTTTGTGTTCCATTGCGTCCACTTATATTTATTCTACACATGTATTTGCAATTTCATTGGCAGACGAGGACACAGTACAACGCCGTAGAGTGAGCGTTCGGCTATTAACGCGAGAGGACAGCGTGAAGGGGCGGGTACTCCAGATTTTCCCAACTGGCGGTGCACGACGCGTCGGGAATAAACGCCGCCCCTCCCTCTCCCCCGCCCCCGCCTGCGCGAGGGGCCTTCCGACGCTCTGCCGCACGTGGTCCCGTGTACTTGGGATGAGAGCCCGTTGGGAATGGGGTGGAAAAAATGTTTAATTGAATACTTGTTTCATTCCCTTTGGATTATTTCGTCGAGTTTTAATTAAGATTCGAGAAGAAATTGTTTGGAGCTCTTTTCATGTTTTTTGCTGCGCATTTATTTCTCGTTGAGCTGTTGCGTGACTACAGCAACCGAAATTTGTTTCTGGGAACAGCTATTCGTTACAATGATAGTCTGTCATTCAGAGGAAACAGTGGAGAAAAATATAAAACTAGGCTGCTACAACAGCGCAAACGAAGTGTGAAAAATACTTTTTTTAATTTAAAATTTAAATGAAACTTACTACTATTGAATTCATATTTCCAGTGTATTTGCTTCAATCACATTCTCAAACGTTTTGCAAAAATGGCTCCAAATGTTTTAATTAAATTTACCTCTCGGATAGTACAAATAACGATTAAAAGGTTGGCGGTGGTCGTCTTATCGTTGAAACCGTTAATTTTTGAAAAATATCAAAAGTTTGAAGTTTTTTTTCGACATCTTCCTACAACTACAATATTGAATATAAAGATTTTTTCTTTAATGAAATCTGTTTTCTAA